CAAGCACCCCAGTACAAGAGTACTTTTAAATAAAAAGATAAAAAATGAATTAACACACACAGCCATGTGTCAATTTTCAGGATTAATAATGGTATTCTAAATTCTAAATAAAGTCTTGTTTATTTGAGATCATATTTAGACTTCCACAATAGCTCAATATTTTATTAAATAATATGGGCTTAGTCCTATTCAGTATTCAATATTGTTCTTACTTATCATTTCTTTCATTTTCAGTGTTCTGTCGATTTTTTAAAAATACCCAAAAAAAGGCGGTAGTTAAAAATTATATAATTTCCTACACAAATCTTTGCATCATGTCATTTTTACCATTAAATTCAAAGCTCCATAATTCCTGCTAAGTATTGGAAAAGGGGGCCTATTTTTTAGTCTGTATATGTGTTCTCCAATTTCATCTTTAAAAAGTATATAATGATGAGCTTGATTTCAGAAGTCAATCTATTCAACTTCAGATGTGTTAGTAGAGTCAAGGGAGAGATTTTATTCTAACCAAAGAACCATCAATTCACCTTTGCGGAATTTGTGACTGTGGCACATTTGAAACGCAAATTTTATAAATACAATTATTCTGACTGAGGCAGTAGGGCAGAGAGACAGCCATAACACTGACTTCAACCCAAGTGAAACAAGATAATTATGTTAATATTTGTTCATTTTAGATTCTTAGAATAATATTGCTCTGATGGATCAGATCAAGAAAATGAAGCATGGAATTCTTCCAAGATATGAACATTTTAATGGAGTTATTCTATGGATTGCAATTGTGTTTTAAAGCAAAAACAGAATGACTTGGAAGCACACATCTAGAACCTGGAGGTTGCAATTCCTATTGATGAGACTTTTTTTTGGAGATGGGGAGAGGGTGGGGGAGGGCGGTGCAGGGGGAGAGGGAGAGAGAATCCCAAGCAGTCTTCATGCTCAGCGAGGAGCCCAATGGTGGGCTCGATCTCATGACCCTGAAACCGAGACCTGAGCCGCTTAACCTACTGAGCCACCCGGGTGCCCCAAAACATTTTAATAACAATGAGGATATTCTAGTCCCCAGTTTATGTGGAAAAACAAAGAAAGGAGTCAAAAGGAAACCCAAAGGGAAAGACGGATGTGTGGACACATTAGGACAGAAGTCTCATCTTCCCATCACAAACCCTGACCAATGGGAGATAGGAGGACGAAGCTGGGCAGATAAATTCCTTTCTCTCCCCTGGGACCTCTTCGAGCTCCTGTGTATATCCTTCCAGGGCGTCTGCTGACCCACTGCTGAGTTCTCCTCATAGCTCCACACAAAGCAGAAACCAGCACAACAACTCATTCCAAGAGGACAGGATGAAAACCCCCAAAAGCCCACACCAACACTACAACACGGGCACTCCAATGGCACTCTTGCCCCCTCTATACCCCTCTTGGTAGCAACAAACTGAACGCACAAACCTTGAAAATGTTAAGCTTCTAACAAATTGGATTCAACAATCACTTGGTTAATTGAAAATGGTTAAATTTGAAAACACTTTTTTACAGAGGCAGTCTATGGATTACCATTTGCCATTGAAAGGATCATAGGATGTTCATCATATGTGGTTGAATGAAAAGCATAATTAAGATAGCATATCAAGAATGAACACTCTCTTCTACAAAGAGAGGGAGGAAGAGAGGACTCCTTTTACCTTTCCAGTGCTCAGATGGGAGAGTGAGTTCTCAAGAGTATGAATTTGTGCCACAAATGTAGTCCAGAATGAATATTGTGTATGCTAGGCAGAAGTGGTTCGATAGTTCCACAAGTAAACAAATACTGAGTAATTAACACATGCTAAGCACTGCACTGAGCATTATCCCCCTTTGAGGACACAGAAATCTATGTCTTTATATTATCAAACCATAAATCCAAAGAGATTTTGTTTGTTTAAAATTGTGAAGACTAAGAAGAATAGTAGCTGATTCCTACAAAGATAAGGAGGGATAATAAAGTGCGCTGGACTCCAACAATTAATGAGACAGAACAAACAGCAGTAGGTACATGCAGCAGCAGGGAAGGTATTTTTAGCTCCAACATTAGGCAACGTCATTACAAGCACGATTAAATCCAGCAACAAGCTGCCAAAATGACTGAGAAATTGCCATCCCTGGAGAGATGCGAGACTGCACGGAGGGGCAGCAGACAAGGACGGCCTAAGGATAACTAAGGCCTTCGAGGGTCAGAGCGCTCAATGACCACAAAAGCTGTGCAGACATTTCTCACATGCTGTCCACAAGTCTAGATTCTAAAAAGCATCCACCTGAAGTTCTCATCCAAAAGTCAGTCCCTCCTCCCCGAAGCACTAGTGTGGACTTGGCCTTGCACACCTAATACTAAAAATTATCATAGTAGATACTACTAATAATATGTATAACACTGATACAATAATATATAATATATATAATGCATAATATAATATGTATAATATAATAACATATATAATTCTATGCTTTTAAAATGACAGCAATACAGGCACAGATGTCTATCACCTCTAAAAATCCAATTTTAGGAAAAGCAATTAGAATTATTAGAAATATGGTCATACGAAAAATTTTCTATTGCTATTTTGCTTTGAGATGGTCAGGGAGCAAGCTACAAACTACAGTAGTCACTTTAGAGGACCAAATTTCATCAAAAGCAGTCACCTACTTGAATATTTTATCAGAATAGGTAAGGAGATGTCAAATATTCCATTTAGATCATACAGAAATCTCTCTTCAGAAACACTGTTATTACCACATGAAAACAGCAGGTTATAAAGAACCCTGAGCCCTTTGATATGAAGTTACCAACACACACAGAGTGAGATATCTGAAGAATGGTCATCTAATGTCAATAGCGGAAATTAGACTTATTGTGGGGATCATTTCATAATGTATAAAAATATCAAATCACTACGATGTACACCTGAAGCTAATATTGTATGTCAATTATCCTTCAATTTAAAAACTAAATTTAAAAAACAGTGGAGATAGCTGGGTGGTGGGATTTTGGATAATTTTACTCTTGGCCGCATGGCTTTTGTGTGATTTTTCTAGCAGAACAAAACTACAAAGCAAAGCTCAGGACCCAGACTGTTGGATTCAGATTTCAGCTTTTGGCCTAATGGGCTGTGTGATCTTGAGCAAGTTACTTAACCAGTCCATCTTTCCGTGACCTCACTTATAAAGAGGGATAAAAATAGTCCCCAGTTCAGAGTGCTGCGAGAGGACTAAGTGTGTTAGTTAGTACACGGAAGGCATGAGAACACTGCGTGGAACATAGCTAGCCCTCGGGAAATATCCGCCAATAGGAGAAGTAGTAGTACTGCTAATACTAAGCTAGCTATTGGTAAAATTGACTGATGCTCATTAACAGTGGTTGCGAAAGCAACTATTTCATGACCAAAAGTAAAAATGGGAGCAAGAAAACCTCTCTACTTAAGTTTACGTAACAACCAAAAAACCAAACCCCAAACCCCAAAAACCTAGCAGATCTACATGCTACAAATATACATACATAGTAGGTAAAGAGGAAGCTATGTAAAGATGAGATCCCTGACTATACATTTTCTCCTAGGATCCGCCTTCTCATTTCGGAGGTCAGCACGCACTGCGGACTAACAGAGTTAAAGAGGTGCTCTAAGTAATGGCTTTGTGTGTACAAGTCTGTGCTCTCAACTTAGCAGCAAAATAGAAGACGTTCTAATGAGGTTAGCATTTGTAGGCCAGAAGATTCGTCCTGATTAAGAAGAAAGACATCTTTAAAACCCCAGTAGCCTTAATCTACAACTGCTAGAATGGGGACTTGTATAAAATGAAAGTTACAGAAACACACACTTGACTTGTTAGGAGCTGATAAGGAAAAGCATGCATTATTCTGAACCCTGGATTCTCTTCCTTTGAGAGAGAGATAATCAATAATGGAATTCAATAACATATTAGAAGGTGGTAGGAGCTGTGGAGAAAAAGGAAGTGAGTGGAGCCGGGACGGAAAAAGGGGTAGTGTTGACATTTGAATAGGGTAGGTAGAGAAGGTGACACGTGAGCTTGGATCAGACGAGGGGAAGCTCAACCTATTTTACTCCATAATCATTAGCTCTGATGAAAGTTTTGAGCAGGCTGGAAGCCCCCAGTGAAGACAAGCTAGCGGTTATCCCTGTGTGTCACTTATCCTGCCCACCCCTTTCGACTTGGATAATATACACTCTAGTGATTACACGAATATCCTGTTATAGTCAGTCTGTGCTGGTATTATTTCACTTTTTGAAATCTAAAAACACGAGCTTCTTAAATAATCTTCCCCATCAATATTTTTGGCAAATAAAAGGAATGAAGAATGAGACAAGTCATTGGCTCTTTCTGCTAACCCAACGTCCATTGCCCCGTTTTCCAGTAAGAGAACCCATATTTTCCTTGGGTAACTAAGCCTACCAGACTTCCAACCAATGTGGCTGATGGCAGCCCCTACCTTTAGGGGTAAAGTGTATTACCAGGCCCTACAAATAGGAGTGCCAAATCCCCCGTAAACACTACTACACAGTGTCAAGTTCAGGAGTGGGACACATGACCAAACCAGGTGCTGAGACACGGGGCACAACTCGCAGAAAAGAGGTACCGTCATCCGTGGGACTGCTCAGGTGGCAGAATGCAGGCCTGGAGTCACTGATGGAGCCATCCTTGCCACCCCTGGGGAAGGGAAGGAAGTGAGTCTGCCTAAAAATGAAGCCAGTCTAGAGGGAAGCAAGGAGAGAAACAGGAATAGAGCCGGGTGCCTCTGACAATACATTTGGGGGACTTGATGAACTTGGCCCTATCTCAAGAGGGCCACCCCATACATTTTTCACACAGTGGAAGAACACATTTCCTTTTTTGATTAAATCACTGAAGCTGGGTTTCTGTCACTTGCAACCAAGAGTCTTGCCAAATACAAAGAAACCTTCGGGAACCGGGTTCAGTATTTTCCTTAGCAAGCCAACAACCCGTACACTTACCCGTTCCTGCCCAGCAGTGTCCCAGATGAGGAACTTATGAAGCTCATTTCCACAAGGCACGGTTTTGGTCATAAAAGATGCCCTGAAAAAGAGAATCAAAATCTCCACGTTACCAGGCGCCCCTACAGTCTTCACAAAGATTCCTGTTTCACACAAGTTCATCTTGCCTCAGCAAGACTCCAAAAGCTCCCTCCTGGCAGACCACTAAGAGGAAAGAAGGGCTGCTAGAGTCCTGTCAGCCAGAAGAAAATATTCTGCATTTTTTGTTAGTCCAACTGGAGGTTTAGGGAAGGAAAAATTTTTTAAAAAGCCAAGAATGAATTCAAAGCACTGTGCTTCCAAAAACACTGTCCTAAGATAGTATGCTCAATTGTTCTAAGATAATAGCCCCAAATCTCAGGAAAGAAAATAAAACCTAAGATTTTAAAAACATATTATTACAACAATGAAGGATGGACAGGGCAGCCCACATCACAGTGTGGGCCTTGTGATGGCACACACAGAAAACTGCCTTCCATATGCACCCATGCTATGCATCCAACCTAGTAGCAACTAATAGAATACCATATCTCATTCCCACCCTGCTTTTATACATGCAGGGATAAAGGTTGGTGGTTTACCAAATATTTACGTTTTCTCCATTAAAAAAAAAAAGAAAAGGATTTGAAACTCTCAGTAGATAGTGAAACACTTGACACTTCCTTTTTTTTGTATATTTCCTGTTAAACATTTTCTTTGTGTTCATGAAAGACGTGAATATACAATACGTTGGAAAGTTTATACCCTTGACTTCTTTTTTCTGTGAGATAAAGCTTCCCATTCATTAAAAACTAGTGGGTCTCCCCAACAGTGGGACAACCGGACATGATAAGTCTCCGCGTGTGATGGAATAAGAAGCACATCATCTTATTATACATCATCTGTGCAGCATTCTGGCCAAAACCAGTTCACCTGAATGTAATCATAAGAAACAGATCAGACAAATCCAGAATGTAGAGCATTCTACAAGACAACTGGCCCAAATGCTTCAAGTAAGTCAAAGTCATGAAAAGCAAACAAAACAAAAGGCAGGAAGATTGTTCTAGAAGCTAAATTAAGAGAGAAGAAAGAGATAAAACAACCAAATGCCCCTTGGATGCATCTGGAATTAGGAGGGAAAAATCTTTACGTGACATTTTGAGGACAACTGGGGAAATTTAAATTTAGACTATATGTCAGATACTATCATTGAATCAAAATTAATTTTCTAGGGGCACCTGGGTGGCTCAGTCGGTTAAGAGTCCGACTCTTGGTTTCAGCACAGGTCATGATCTCAGGGTTGGGGATCAAGCTCCTCATTGGGCTCCACACTCAGCGTGGAGTCTGCTTGTCCCTTTCCCTCTGCTCCTCCCCCACCCTCTCTCTTCCTCTCTCTTTCTCAAATCAATAAAATATTTTTTAAAAATTAATTTTCTAGGTGTGATAATGGTATCCTCACTATGTTCTTATTCTCAGGAGAGGCACAGTAGAGTTTTTAAGGCTAAGGTATCAGGCTGTCTACCCTGCTTCCTATGGCCCAGCTGACCCACCATCCAGCACACAGTACAGCCCTACATCACTCAGCACCCAACCCAGTAATGTTTCCTCAACTTCTCCTACTTTTCCCCAAGACTAAGAGGCAAACTACACAAGTCCCAAGTAGAAAAACATATGTCCCTGCAATTCCCACACAACCCTCACAATATACTGATACAACCCCAAAAGTTAACAGTTCTATTTATCAACCTACGATTGCACTAAATGGAAATTCTAAGCAGTTTTCTAAGTGATATGACCCAATATTATCAAAACCACAACTGTCCCATGACACTTTATTTCTTTTAAAGTGCTTAAAATATACACAGACTACTGATAAGAGTAAATATATTCCATAAATGGAAATGTCTTTATTACTTTTCCCATTACAAAAGCAATATACGGACATCCCAAAAAAGAAATTCAAAAAATGAAAGCAAAGGAGGAAATAGAAATCAATCGTCATGTCACCACCGAGCCACAATCACTGCTAATAAGTTGGTATATATCCTTCCAAATTATGTTTATACAGTGTTTACATCCGTAACTGATCATACTCTACATTCATTTTGTTTTCCCTCCACTCGGTGTATCATGGATATCTTTCCATTTCTGTGAATACAGATCAACAACATCTAAAATGACTAAATATTCTACACCATGTTATGGCTTTATTCACTACCCCACTGATGGGCATTTTGGTCACCTATTTTCCACTATTATGATGATGATTAAATGAGTATCTTTGTACTTATATTTTTGTGTCCTCGTACAACTATTTCCTTAGAAACAGACATGCCACTCTGGGTGGGACCAGCCTACACACCCATGTAGGAGATGACACCCAATGTAGGAGATGACCTTCTCCCCAGCCAATTCTGATCTTTCAAATCTTTCCCAGTATGATAAAGAGAAATGATATGTCGTTCCCATTTTTATTATGCTTCTTATAACTTTGAATGTCATTTTAGTGTTTATTGTTCACTTGCGTTTTTCTTTAGTAAATATTTAATTTGTGACCTTTGCCCACTTTTTGGTTTTTCTTATTCACTTGAGTATTTTACACTAACCTTTTGTAATAGTATATTTTAAATAATATTTTTTCTGGTTTAACCTTTGGCCTTTAACTTTGTTTAGAAAATTTTTCCGTAAACACCTTTGGTTTTGTTTTTACTTTGATATAGGCCAGATTTTCATTCGTTCCCAATAAATTCTAGGCACTAGGATAAATAATATATCAACCCTGCCCTTAAAAAGTTCTCAGGCTTAGAAAACTAAGTTCATGCCTTTAAAATCTTAGAACCAGAGACTTTTAGAGATGGAAAAAAATATGAAATATCCAGGCCAACCTCTTCACTCTACAGATAAGGGGATGGAAATCTGAGTCCCGAAAAACTGCCTTGTCCGTGGTCAAAGAGTCTATCAGCACAGTCAGGAACAAAATGCTGAGGCCTGCCCTTGCTTCCAGCAAGGTAGAATGAGTGTTTAGATAGCCCCTCAGTTTCCCCATCTGAGAAACAGAACCAGTATCTGGGGGCTGTTGTAGGGTCAAATGAGGGAATGATACCTGTGAAATTCCTGCTTGATACACAGTAAGTCTGCGAGGAACAGCTTTAGTATAGTCGTCATGCAGATCACACACACACACACACACACACACACACTCATGTACACACCCTTCTCTGTTCTTCATTTCCTGCCACTAGAAAAAAAGACGACTAATATTTGAAATGACAACTGACAATCCTTGTTCTTTTGGTTGTTTGGGTCGTTTTGTTTTGTTTTTTAACAGCTCTGCTAACATTCAATCTTAAGAACCTCAAGCATCTTTTCCTCTCTACAGATTATCTTCCAGAGTGGTGGAGGGGGGGAGCCTTGGCAATGCTGAACTGACTTCGTTATCTGTGGAAACCAAAATCTGGCATAGAAGTAACACAATTACCTTGTAAAAGTCGAAACAGAAAGGGAGACACACACACACATATATATATGTTCAAGATGTCAACACAATCTGCTTGAATAGCAAAGCCAAGATTTTTCATTGTGAGTCACAGAAGACGATAAGAATGAACTCTTTCGATGCTGAAACAATGACATTTTACAGGCCGTGGCCTTTCCCCAGTGGCAGTTTGATCACAGTGGAAAGAACAAGGGTGGACTTTGAAAGTGGACTCACTTGGTCTGAGTCATCAGTTCGCCGCTCATGGCTGTGTGTGCCTCAACAAGTCACCTCGCTGCTCTGATTCTTGGAGTCAGCAGCGTTACAGTGAAAAAGGCTCTGGGCCTGGGGCCTGAACTCAAATGTCTACGGGACCAGGCAGCAACCATATAAATGAGCCAAGCGGACTAGGTGTAAAAGTCATAGTGATAAAAATAATAGTAACAGTAAACAGCGGGAGCGCTGTGGAAAGGAGAGAGCCCGCCCACCCACACGGAGCACCCGAGGCTCGGGTCCAGCTGGCTCCTGCCACGTGGGCATGTGCACCCGCTAAGCCAAGTCTACTGATTTTTTAAAAGAAGCCAGAAATGCAGGTTTATTATGTAAAAATCTCCTGATTCTCCATTACTGGCTTAAAAATTTTAAAGCACTGTGCAGGCTAAACAAAACTCATCTACAAGCAAGAGTCCCAGTGCACTGAACCCAGAAGCTGGAGGATGAGCACTGCAGTCTGTATATAACACCTTCCAAGAAATACGTTTGTTCCTGCTAGCTTTAGTTTTCTGAAGCTGGAGTCTGGAAACACTTTTTTCAAAATCATAAGAGAGGATAAATTTTGAGTGGGTTTTTTAATTGGGCAATTGAACTGTATCGGGAAAGGACAACAGATAAGAATGGAAGAGCCCATCCCAACCTTGACTCCAGAAGAAAAGTGAGGAATGTAGACAGAAAGCAGAACAGCACAGAATTTACAGTCACTTAACATTATGTTTATGAAGAAATTTTAAGGTATGAGAAAATGCTTAAGTTTGAAGTTTAGCGGAAAATAACAATTCAAAATCATATCTACAAAAATGTTTCAAGACCTAAAGCTGGTAAGTGTACAGAAAAATATGGACAACCTTTCTGAAAAACAATTTGGCAATATCCATCAAGAGCCTTAAATATGTTCATATTCTTTGACTGAATTATTCCATTGCTGTGAATTTAACCCAATGAAATAATCAGAGGTACGTGCAAATATTTATGCCCCAGGATATACATCATACATTATTAAAAAGTAAACAAAAAATTATAAATAACCTCAGTGACTTAAATGGAAAATAGAGCCATTAAAAATCATTGCTTTTAAAAAAAAGTTTTTATTTATTTATTTGAGAGAGAGAGATTGAGGAGAGAGAGGGCAGGGGAGGAGCAGAGGGAAAGGGACAAGCAGACTCCATGCTGAATGCAGAGCCCAACACGGGGCTTGATCCCATGACCCTGAGATCATGACCTGAGTTGAAACCAAGAGTCAGACACTTAACTGACTGAGCCACCCAGGTGCCCCAAAAATCATGCTTTTTTATATAATGATATATGTCAATTATATCTCCATAAAACTGGGGGGGAAATCCTTGTTTTTAAAGACCATTTAGTAACATGAAATTCATAATATAATGTTGAATTACTAAAGATTTTATATACATATAGCAAAAACTCTGGAAGAAGATATACTAGATATTTATGGTAGCTACTCCAGAAGGCAGATTATGGGCAGTTTGTTTTTTCTTATTAAGATTTTGTTTATTTATTTGAGAGAGATAGCAAGAGATAGAGCATAAGCAGGGGGGGAGAGGGAGAAGCAGGCTCCCCAAAGCAGGGCTCCATCCCAGCCCCAGGATCATGATCTGAGCCCAAGGCAGACATTTAACCAACTGAGCCACCCAGGAGCCCCAGATTATGGGTGGTTTTTATATTTTCTTCACAGTTTTCTTCATTTTCAGTTTTTTATTAGTATATAATACTTTTATAAAAAGAGAAAATAGTATTCCCATCATGTTTCTAAAGATTATGTGATATTATAAGAAAATGTTCAAAATATATTAAGAAGAAAACAGGATAAAAAACTGTATGTATACTATGATTCCAATTTTTATAAATTCTGTGTTTTTTTAGAGTGAATATGAACTCTTATAATCAGAAAAATTAGACTTTACTCTTGACTCTGTCAAGGAAATATACAGTAAAGTGTTCCTTTTATTTTGTCTTCTAAGAAATTTGTATGCATGAAAGAAAAATAAGGAAGAGGATGGAGAATGCATGTTGTGGCATAGCAGGTAGAATATGATGCCATTTTGGTTTTAGAAATTACATATTTGTACACCTGCATAGACATAGAAAATACTTATAAGAAGCATGTTAAGTATGCACTTTGGACTCTAAATATTGGTGATGTAAATTGAAGAAAATGGGATCAGAGAGCTAGTAAAATCCTCTGACTTCAATTTTTATTTTACATTTTTATGTATGGTCTGAATTTTTCATAATGAGCATTATAATTTGAGGAATGAATACATAATTTTTTAATTAATGGACTATTTTTGGAGAAGTATTAGGTTTACAGAGAAAATGAAGATAAAGTACAGAGAGTGGAAACTCTCTGTTTATATATACATATATATATAATAATATATATACATAATAATAATACATATATACAATATAAAGAATATAATACATAATTTTTTAAAAGCCCAAAACCACCACAATGCATTTCTTAGAGAAAGCAGGGTCAACAGGGTTTGACTGATTGTCTCCAAAATGGGTACCAATGATCCATACAGCTCCCCCTCTGAATGATCGCCTCCCACCATGAGGTGTGATTTATTTCCCCTCCCTTGAATCTGGACTGGCATTATGACTTGCTTCAACCAAGATACTGTGACCCAAATGATCCACCTCTTAGAGGCAAATAGTCTTGGAAGGGAGAAACAAGGTCTCCCTCTGGAGCAAAGCACAGACATGTTTACTGCCCATTATAAAAGATTTGGGTTCCCTAAACTCGGGGGTCCTCTCTTATAACTCAACCCACCGCATATAGCATATCATCTGATCCTCTTCACGTCACCCTACAGGAAATTAGTGCTCCAGGAACCAATACAAAATGAGAATACTCCAACTGCTGCTACTTCCCCTGTGTCTGATCCAGCATCCATGAAATGGACACAGCTAACTTGTTCTTGATGCATATTTTTTGTGAACATGTTTCTTTTTTTTTTAAGATTTTATTTATTTATTTGAGAGAGAGAATGAGAGAGAGAGCACATGAGAGGGGGGAGTGTCAGAGGGAGAAGCAGACTCCCCGCTGAGCAGGAAGCCCGATGCAGGACTCAATCCTGGGACTCCAGGATCATGACCTGAGCCGAAGGCAGTCGCCCAACCAACTGAGCCACCCAGGCGCCCATGAACATGTTTCTTTAAGCCACTTTTAACTACAAAATGTAGTGGATTTTCTCACCTACCCCACTCCAGCCACTGGCCTATCAACCAACTGCTGGAGCATCTACTTATGCCCTGCTATGAATCTTCTCCACTTACAAGTGATAGAGACAATCACCCCTGTGCTCATCAATCAATCCTACAGTGTTGCCAAAATACAGACACACATTCTTTCCCTTCTGAAGAAAACAAAACCTTTGCTCTCTGCAAAGAGCATGATATCTTCAGGGAGAAAACTTAGTGAGGCCAAGTTCTAAGACAGTGAAAAAGCAAGCACCTGCAAAATGGCACAGCAAAGCACATCTGGCAAAAGCATCTGTAGGAAAGGGGAAAATGGAATAGGAAAATGTCCCTATATTCTAAGGTTGGGGTCTCAGAAGTGAACAATCCTCCTCCCCTCCCCAAGCATAAGAATGGAAATGCTAACACTCAATTAATCTAGAAAGGAAAAGCCATCTACCCCACAGACTCTGGACAACTGTGCTGTGTGAGTGGACAGTATTTCCAGGTTTACTGGCAGGCAACTTAAAGCTCGACCTTCAGGGATTTGTCCTGTGTCTCATCTTCCATCTGGAAATAAAGCCAATGTGATTTGCAGAGTAATGCTCTTGGAGATCAAGGAGATGGTCTTAGGCTGAAGCCCAAGAGGACAGTCAGCTAGGAAAAAAGAATTATTAACAGGGACAGTAAGCCCAGACATCCTGCCTAAAAATCACTGCATTTCTGTCACAAAGTCTTTAGAGTTGGGATAGATTCTCACTGGCTGGGGTGAAAACAGCTTGAAGGCTCAGGCACAAAGTGACCTCTCGGTGTTTTGGAAGGAAGAAATGTGAAAGAGAAGAACATACAGGAACTTACCCAATGGTTGGGCTGATGTTGTGGTCAAAGTGATCCTGCACAAATCGACACACGATGCTTGATTTCCCAACCCCAGTATCCTGGAAAAGAATGAGGACACACAGCCATGAAGACCAAGGGTATCAGTTCTAACCTAGTATAAACATAGAACCAGACGACAGGAGAAGTTACTTCTCATTCGTGGGAGTAGGAGAGGAGGATATTTTCTTCTATTTCTTACCAGTATTTTCTACAAGGAAATTGTACTGCTTTCGTAGAAAGGAAAGAACTATGGTAAAAATAAGCTTTAGAAACATGGCCCACATATATACAATAATTAACCTAGAAATCACATGTTCACAATATATGTGTCTCCAGAAATTCGAAAAATTTTGAAGGGGTCTAGAGGAGAAGTATGGTAACACACTGCATTGTTTTGGTAGAGATAGAACTGCTTTTGTTCAAAACCTTAGCACTCAAAAACTATGTAATCTATTTTTCTGGGTATCACCCAGTAAGACTTATGAATTCTAATGTCTGCATTTCTAACATTTCCTCTTCAGAATCTTATGGCTGCATAATAACCTCCAGTTCTGCTTAATTATAAAAAGGTCTCATCTCAATGCTCTTTCTGTTAAATAATTCTTTAAAGCTGATTAGGATAGAGGTCCATTATACTTTGGAAATCAAATACATGCATTTCTTTTTTTTTAATGATTTATTTATTTATTTATTTATTTTTAGTGTTCCTTGATTTATTGTTTGCATATAACACCCAGTGCTCCATGCAGAAGGTGCCCTCTTTAATACCCATCACCAGGCTAACCCATCCTCCCTCCCCTCCTCCCCTCTAGAACCCTCAGTTTATTTTTCAGAGTCCATCATCACTCATGGTTCGGCTCCCCCTCCGATTTCCGCCTCTTCATTCTTCCCCTCCTGCTATCTTCTTCTTCTTCTTCTTCTTTTTAACATACAATGTATTATTTGTTTCAGAGGTACAGGTCTGTGATTCAACAGTCTTGCACAATTCACAGCGCTCACCATAGCACACACCCTCCCCAATGTCTATTACCCAGCCACCCCATTCCTCCCACCCCCCACCACTCCAGCAACCCTCACTTTGTTTCCTGAGATTAAGAATTCCTCATATCAGTGAGGTCATCTGATACATGTCTTTCTCTGATTGACTTATTTCACTCAATATAACACCCTCCAGTTCCATCCACGTCGTTGCAAATGGCAAGATTTCATTCCTTTCGATGGCTGCATAATATTCCATTGTATATACATACCACATCTTCTTTATCCATTCATCTGTCAATGGACATCTTGGCTTTTTCCACAGTTTGGCTATTGTGGACATTGCTGCTATAAATATCGGGGTGCACGTATACCCCTTTGGATCCCTATATTTGTATCTTTGGGGTAAATACCCAGTAGTGCCATTGCTGGATCGTAGGGTAGCTCTATTTTCAACTTTTTGAGGAACCTCCATACTGTTTTCCAGAGTCGTTGCACCAGCTTGCATTCCCACCAACAGTGTAGGGGGGGAGGCCTTTCTCCGCATCCCCACCAATATCTGTCGTTTCCTGACTTGTTAATTTTAGCCATTCTGACTGGTGTGAGGTGATATCTCATTGAGATTTTGATTTGGATTTCCTTGATACCGAGTGATGTTGAGCACTTTTTCATGTATCTGTTGGCCATTTGGCAAATACATGCATTTCTATCCACTCCCTCCAAACAACTTTGTCAAATGGCTTAAGGAATAAAAGACACAAATTCACAAAACAGATAGATAGGAGATGAGACACCAGACAAGTGATGTCAATGAAAAGCATGTGGCCTAGTAGTCACTGGGAAAGAAGAAGCTGGAACCTTGAGGGCCACCAGGGAGGAGAGCCATGGAGAAGCAAGACAATTCATGCCACAGAATCCCTGAACACATCAAGAATTGGAGAACAAGGCTGAAAGCAGCAGTAACTGTTGAAAGGCTGCACAAAAAAATACGCTTAGTGCCCCTGGCCACAAAACCAGAGGATGGACTCTTCTGCATTTCAAGAAAAGGTGGAAATTGAGTCTCCAGGAAACCTGTATCAGACAGGGCTAGGCTTGGGGCCTTGAGATGCAGCTCACACGTTGCCCCGTGTGAAGCCAGACAGAAGAAGTGCGGAGTGCCCTCTGAATAAGAGGGAAAGATCCTGCAGATCCTGACACATGGAATCCCCCAACTAAAAGCCATGTTGCAACAGTCTACAAGCTCCAGTGCTAACAGACCTTTTGGGACATATTTTAATCTATCAAAAATAAACACTCAGCTAAGAAATACCAAATGTTTATACCCATACAAAAAAAGAGCAGGATACTATTTTAGAAGATTATTCAATGAATAAGACTGAAATTAATAAGACTTAGAAATTAAAAAATATGATGGTAGAAATGGAAATTTCAAAGGAAGAGGTATAAGGTAAAATCAGGAAACTGCCCAGGAAGTAGAACGTACTAGAACAAAGCAACTAGCTCTGCTTTGAGCTAGTTGCTAGAGGGGTGGCAAGGCAAGGAGACACAGGATTCACAAACGATTGACACAGAGATGTCATCCTCAACACATGCTCATCGGAAAGGATCATGCAATCTATATGTGAACGGGAAACGACATAGCCCAAGAAGAAAAAAATACTGATATGGTTCTCTTCTGTTAAAGGTGTCTAAAAGCCTAAAGATCAAGGAGGAAATGTTGAAAAAGAGAAATGTGCTTTTCTTTACACTGAAATACAAAATGAGATTTGAAATATCAACTGGCAATCTGAATTCTTTTTATCCCTTCTCACGCTGCACCGCCCCCCCTTCCCGGCCCCCATGCTTAGAGGACAGTTCCTGCAAATGTGGAGCAATAGGGGCCCCGGCTGGTGACACTCATCAGAACATCATTCTCCAGAAGGTCTCCTATCCCAGGGAGAGTGGCCTTCACTGGTTGTGAGCCATAATGAAACAAAAGCACCAAAGGCCTTTTATCTGCAGCGTGCACATCGATGTGCAGAGTTCAAAGAGGTGGCGACAGAATTAAAACACTAGCTCTCAGATTCCAGATCAATATGCCGCTGCTATTTCTGAGCCGAACCTTCAGGATGTATTCCAGCTAATGTGTCTCACAGTTCCCCAAACCCCACAACTCAGTTCTTTTCATCTCAGTTGCTTTGAACTCCCTCTGTCCCCCGGCCCCACGGATGAGAAGCCCATGTCACCCTTTAGCCCACACAACCCCCAGAAAACATAAAAACCAAAGGACAATGCTGCCCTACCCTTGAAGAGGAGGAAGATGTGCTCTTGCAAGGTGAACTGCTCTCTGCAAATGGCCAGGTGGGCAGGGTGGGGACCGATGTGTACTTCTACATATTTTTATGTCACAGAGCTCATAGTGTGCAACTCCTCCCATAGGAAGCTCTCAAGTTCATTATCCCACAAGAAATGCTAAACGATTCATCTTTGCTGTCTGTGCACCCCCAGAAGACACCCCCAAGATGGGAAGGCACGGCTGACATGAGCGTCTGTCTCATTCCCAGTGTAGAAATGCTCTCTCTCGGACTCACCACTGGGCCAGCAGGCAGTCAGCAAGCCCTGCCCTTCCCACGCCCGCAGGGGGCAAACCCAGACCCACAGGACATAGAGCCCCCCCTCCACTTCCACAGCTGGGAGAGGCGCCTGGAGGAGGGAGTACCCGCACCCATAGGCGGGCAGGGCTGCTCTGCCCAGGGCTCAGCGGACAAATACGCGCCTCCCGAGTTTTGTCCCTTTCGGGCCCTCTTTTGTGTCCTTTCGGCATACACCCAGGCTCCCCCTGCTTCCAAGCTTAGAAATCAGCCCTCTGGAACACCTGCCGTTCCCAGCAGCGCCCAGAGCCCCTTCCCCTGCTAGCACCATGGCTCTTACTCTCTGCGAGTGAGGGGCCCCTGGTGTGCAGGCTTTGGCGAGACCGTGCACCTCATGATGAGGACTCTGCTCTAGGAAGCACATTTTGGGTCTCTCCTTTCGCCCTACCCAAGGGCTCCATGCAGAACACCCGGCTCCAGGTCCCCAAAACAGCCCAACAGATCCACCAAGGCCCATCCTCAAAATGCCCTTGAGGATGAAACATTCAAAAGCCATCTGGAAATAATTCCTCTCTACTCATCATCTTCCACAGATAACTCGGGCTTGAAATACCAGCTTTTCTGAATAGTTAAAGCAGCAAGGCTGCTCAAATTTAGACTGAACAATTCATTCTTCATTCAAACCCCGCTGTGTCTCTTTTCTTTTTACCATTTCACTCTTGAAGTTTCTCTTTCTCTCTCTCATGTATTTGACAGGAAAAAAAAAGATTAAAAAACAAAAGGAGATGCAAAGTTTAAGTCTGTCTCAGAAATGACAGTATTCTTCACAAAGAACTGCTTCAAATAATCTTCTGTGGCCCGTGGCTTTGCGCGGCTCCAGAAACGACCTGTGGCTGGGGGGGGGGGGGGGGGTGCTGTCCCCCCGCCGGCCACCAGGGGAAGGCCCTGCTCAAGGATTGGGAGGGAGCCCGCCGCCCGCCAGGAGACGGAGCACTTTTCCCCAAATCGCCTGCCTCGGTGAGTTCCTCTTCCTGCAGGAAACTCGTTCGCCTGGTGACACACAGACACAAGAGGGAAGCGCCGCTGAGTCAGGCCTCGTGCCCGCGAAAACCTATGGGGTTGAAGCAGGAAAAGCTGAAAGCCCACTGGGTAAAGAAAGGCGTCTGTGAGGAAAGAGAGGAAGGGGGGGCCGCAGCTGCCCACCATTCTCTAAAAGGACATTTTATTTTTGGTGGGCTCACAGGGACGGAAGGAAACTCATCTCTGCAGATAGTTTTCCGTTCCACAAGATTATGAGACTAGCATAGTCCATCTTGTCCAGGCTCCTCATTTTTCAAAAGAGGAAGCTGCGGGACTTCCTCAGGGTCACACAGCTGGCTGGTAGAGTCAGAACCTAATTTTCTGAGTGCCAGTGAAATCCTCTGAAGGCTCTCACTGGGTTAAATCAACCTCCCTGCCAAATGTAAATTTCTTCCCCCCAAAGTCCATTTTCTAGAACTCCCAAGGAGTACTTGTAGTCCTGTATCACTGCCTTCCACTGTAGCACTGTGTGTCCTCAAAAGAGATCTGCTGGGGTTTTGCTTGTAATGAAAGGCGGACATACTACCAGCTACTGGGGAGGCACTAGAATAAAACCAATTCTGACTCCACAAACCAGGAATAAAGTTCAGCAGAATCATCCCTGGGGGGTAATCAATGTGTTACTGTATTCTCATTTGTGTGGTTTGGCATTAGACCCACAAGGCCCAGCGATCGGTTCCATCTACTTACGGGGAAATGGATGGCTTCAACGATATTCCTCCCATATAAGTCACTATCTGGGGCTAATAATGCAATCCTCCAAGAACCACCACTTATTCTGACATGACAATCTCTGCTGTTCGAACGGTCACTTTTATTAATCACGTGTAAATCTGTGATTATGAAATCACAAACCACAAACTGCAGCGGCTGTCCTGTAAAACACAGGGCATCCCTTGATGGTCCCTTCCCTCCTGGACGACTGTGACAGGCTTCAAGGAGGCGTTCCTACCTCTCACCATAAAAAACGGTAGGTCCTAGGCAAATATACCACCCCTACATAATCCTGCTCTCGTGGAAGGCATCACTAATCAGTTGAGAATATGTTATTTTATTGAACCTGAAAAGGGCCTCAAAATCTTTGCAACCCAGCTCTGCAGACAATGAGTATGACTCAAGCAATGAGTGTTCCCAGGACAAACGGCTGTCTTCTGCCGTTGCCCTACTCTTCCCAACAGTCAACACGCTCCTACTGTCTCCTCCTCTCCAAACTCACGAAGTACATTATAAGCCAACATGCTTCCTATGGAAAGGAAATGACAAGCTAGACCAAGAATCACAGACTCAGGAATTCCATTCCTAGGAATGTAAAAAAAAAATAAGCACAAAAAATTCATGGAAGTATTATTTATAAAAATTAGAAATGGCCCCAAAAAACCACTATAAATTAAATAACTTGTGGCACAGAGAGGAATCTCTTAAGCTTTCATTTCATGCCAACCAAATGTCAAAGAGGCAGAATATGATTTGCCCATCATGTGAACTATGGAAATGATCATTTCAGCATCTGTCTCTGGTCTAGGACTCAGAGAGAAGCCACATGGCAAGGGGTTTTTTTGCATTTATTTGTTTGTTTGTTTCAGTCATCCACTTATTTAAGTGTTTAGACTTTGAGCCTTATGCACTTCTAAAAAGTCTAAAGTGCTTACACGTTGATAGGGAGTTAAGTTAGGAATTTAGGAGGACTGTGAAGGTCAGCCAGGTTTTATGGAGGGAGAGAAACAGCAAAGAGAGGAACAGGCAGAACCATGGGATGGCAAATGGCTTGATCTTTGGACCCCAAAGGTACAGGAAGCTGAGAGCACCATCAAGGACACTGGGACATGCCCCTCCGCGTGCACAAGATGGCCTTGTGGAGAAAAACTGCAGACAAGTGCAGAGAACAGTGACTAGTGATTTGGGGCTGTGTTGCATGTGCCTGCTTATTAGTTCCACTTCGGGGCAGATGGGGAAGAAATGTCTAGAGGAAGTGTGTGCTGCTGCTGAAGAGATGAGGTCACGGAGGAGACAATTTCCGTTTCCTGCGGCTGTAGGGCACCTGGCGCAGGGCCTCACCACCACGCCTGTGTGTGTGTCAGCTGGCCAGGTCCCCACATCCCAGCCAGGACTCCTCGATGGCACCACCTGGGCTTCCCCAAACCCTGGATCCACCCAGAAGAGAAAGCAGAACAGGAGTTGACACAAAGGAATATGCTCTGTCAAGCACATCCCAATCCTCCAAGCTCCACAGTCTGTACCTAATTCCAAAGAAACCCCACAGAAAGGCAGCACAAATTCCATATTAACCTACCAAGTATTTTTTAAAGCTTTGGCTAAGGGTAAGAGGATACCCACTCCCATTCCCCTCCTCTGCATGGGATTTATGACAAAGCAATGGGCAGAATACCCCAATCACTCAGTCGCGCCACTGCTTCTGAGGAACCTGAATTGGCCAGACTAAGGACTCAAGGTCAAAAAACTGCACATCACCCCCAGAGCTTCCAGTAAGCTCCGTGGAGAGCTCCCATGCATCACTTCAGTTCTGTCTCTGCAACACCCTTTCCACAGGAGAACTGAAGTACTTTGTTCCTGGATGACATTTAAAGGCTTATTGGAATTACAGAATTAATGGGCCTGTTTGCCCCTGAGCCCTAAATATCTTTGGCACCGAAATGAAAAGGGTTCAATATTTATAAATCACAGTTACCACTACCAAAAAAAAAGGTGCCGTGAAAACAAAAAAAAATCATTAAATTCAAGTCTATAATGTGCTTGTTTTATTATCACACATTCTACAAGATTTCCACTGGTGGTGTGAGACCTCTGCCCAAACAGAGTAAATATCAGGCTTCACGCTACGTTCTGGGGAAAATTTGAACTAGCAATGCAAGAAAATCCAACTATAGGCATCCCACTGTGTTTAGGAAACCACACCACAAAATTATTTGAGGAAAATACAATATAAATTAAAAGCCCCTGAGCATTCCCACAAACAACTTTGCTGTACCTTTGTCATGGTTATTTTGAAACATGTCAATGATGTGCATTATAACAAATGTCTCAAAATCCATTTGCAAAGGGAACCTAACTACATATATGACATAAGGAAACTGAATTGTCTCATATTGAAAAAGGTGGGTTCTGCCCCGAATCTGAGAGTCACTAAACTATTTTCTTTATCTGCCTCATGGCGACAAAAATGCTTACAGACATTACTTTAAGCATGTAAATAACATAAGTGAAAATTTTTTAAAGATTTTATTTATTTACTTGAGGAAGAGCAGGGGGAGGGGCAGAGGGAGAAGCAGGCTCCCTGCTGAGCAAGGAGCCTGATGCAATGTGGGGCTCAATCTGGGGACTCCAGGATCATGACCTGAACCGAAGGCAGACATTTAACTGACTGTGCCACTCAAGTGCCCCAATAACATAAGTGAATTTATGCATTTAGATCAATGCCCCTTGGGCACTAGTGAACAAAGCTTGGAAATGTCCACAGTTCTCTAGATGTATATGAGAATAATGTAAAGTCAACATACAGAGAATAAGAGGCCATTGTTTGGGGTGCAAAAAGTGACCAGGAGACATGTAAAAATATCCTCCTAGGTAATAGAAAGAAATCAGCAGAAACGAGGAGCATGAAAACCACAAGAAGGAGATAATTAAATGGTTCCAAAGGGAACAGAGACACATGTATTCACTTTCTCTCACTGGGTCCTCACAACAGCCCTCTGTAAAGTGGAGGACAGAAGGCACTGTCCACATTTCCCATGTAAGGAAACCATGGTCTACGGTCCTACAACTAGTAAAAGCATCATCAAGGTTCAGACATCCCTTTTCCCACACCCAGGGCTCTATTAACCGGCCAAACCACTTCTCTCCAGAAGGCGTGCATCCATCACACATCCACTCGTCTATTCAGTGCCTGTGCGCCAGCAATATGAAAGGACAGGAGATGAGAAAATTAAGCCCAATTCCTGCAGTCAGGACACTTACACTCAGACTTAAACTTCACAAAGGAATCAAAGACAAGAAATTAGAGTGATCGCACCGAGG